CCAGGAAAAGGCGCAAAGCTACACAGAGAAACCCTGTCTCGAAAAACCAAAAAATAAATAAATAAATAAATAAAAAAGCAAAAACATTCTACCAAAGGAAAAAAACTGATAATCTGAATGTTTGAAAAAGTACATGGAGACTATTACACACAAAATTGCAACTTAAAAACAAAAGAGGCAAAAATATTACGATTTTTAAGTAAAATGTATTAAATAAGTATGTACACACACTCACCTCTGTCCTACTTCTAGATGCCATATTTATATCACGATGTCAAAACTGAGATTCTGCAAAAGCACATTAGCAGAAACCAATTCTGCTTTGTGTTAGTGCCTCAACAATAATGAAGGGCAGGGTTACAGAGGCTAGAAGAGCTGGGGCCAAGGACCAAATCTCGAGTGAGACCTGGCTCACATATCTGTGTAATAAGATACTAAAGGAGTTCGCTCAAGTGTCTTCCAGCTCAGAACAAGAGGGAAAAATATAAATTAAATCTTCGGCCTAGAAACAGCCTATGAGTGATACAGAGTGGCCTCTTGATGTGCATTTACTGAAAAAAAAAAAAGTAGCAATTAAATATAAAGCATGCATTTTAAGGTTTCCCACCCTGTGCCACAGTATACAGCTGACTATGGACAGGGTATTGGTGTACTAAAATATGGTTCCCTTCAGGACAGAGGCCAATAAGATGAAATAATTAGGGAAACAACGTTTAAAACCCACAATAAATAAAGCAAAAAACAAAACAAAACAAAAATCCAACAAATCCCCTAAGGCTCAGGATAAACTCAGAAAGTTTTCCATGCGTTTGCTTTTAGAAAAGAAAGGCTATTCTTTGCCTTACGATCTAGTACTCAAGTCATATAATCTTAAAAGAGACATAGAAGCTGCAATGTACCTGAAGAAGCTTCCTATTTTTCATACAGTGTCTGGGTATAAAAAGGGTATTTCTTGAAGAACAACTTGAAAAACAGAATGTTAACATTCAGTTCATTGTGTTGGGGGAAAACACACAGCAACAATCATTCTTGAGGTGGAATTTTATTAAAGAATATTTATTACAGGAAAATTAATTTCTGGCTCAACTTCAAGACAACAGTTATGTATCCTTTTTGATAGCAACTTGGATATTTGGAATATGAACATCTGCATTATTCATTATTATAATCTATGCTTGTAAAACCTACCCTTTGAGAGAGAAGAGTATGTATAACATACATGTAAAATGAGGGGTAATCTTCTGATACAGTACCCTCAGCACTTCCTGATATTCTGGCAACCAAAGCTCTCCATCTACTGGATGCCTAAGTGACCTTCTCACCATTTCTCATAACCAGTAGCTACACCTTTACCACCCCCCTGCAACACAAAATTTACACAGCTACCTTGCCTACCATACTTCATACCAAAGGGTAAGTTACTTGCAGGTAGCAGCTGGTGGCACCACAGCTTCAAGGAGGTCCCACAGATAGGCAGGATGCTTCTGAAACACACATTTAGCCATATAGAAAAGAATGAGAGGAAAACATCACAAAATTGAATGTGGCTACTAACCACTGGTAGCTCCAAGAGAGCTACAAGAGAGACAAAGCTGCAAGACTTGGTCAGGGAAGGGCTTTGTAACTGACCTTTCATGTAGCTCCTTCTTGAGAGGAAAGGCATAGCTAATGAACGAACACCGGAAAAGATATAGGTGCTGAGAGAGAATCACACTGTCCAGTGTGAGAGATGCACAGTTGGATGGTAGATCAGCACAGCATTCTATGTCCAGGGAAATGTTGGTTGTGTTTAGTGCCTCTGCAGACACTTCAAATGCACATGTCATAAAGGAGGCAATGCCCCAGTAGTGTGACTTCCATGTACTCTCCAAATTCATATAATCTACCACATCAGATACTGTCACGGTCACAAGGAAATGGAGAAGAGAAAAAAGGGGCCAAGTTTCAATGTTTAGGTACTTTTATTTTATCATTGCTTCAAATGTCAAAGTTTCGATATTTAAGGACGTCCTATTTCATAATGCTCTCAAATATCAGGCTAATCTGAAATTTAACTGGTCTATGCAAATAAATGTTTAAGGAACTCATAGGTCACACAGTTTACAAATGAAGATACTAATGCTCCAAGAACATGACTTACCTGTTCATGTGGTTTTCTTCTTGAATTCTATCTTCCAGAACAGCTTTTTAATCCTATATACTTTCAATGACCTGCTCAACCACTACCACTTCTGTGTGGCTAAGTGTTCTTATCCTGCTATTCCTGAGGCCGATACACATTGAAAATTAAATGTCCTCTTTATTGTAACTATGGATTTTTGTGCATGAGAGTCTGCCCTTTCCTTTTATCATATATTTGTGATGTGTAGTCCTTCTGAGCTACAAATGGCAACCTCTGGACAGCAGTGAGGTACATCTTTCACTCATGTCAGCACAAACATAAGCTTGTATTTATGTCTGGAATGTGGCTGGCTATAAGAGATTTGAAAAACTAACACCCATGAGTGTTTCTTAGGGTCATATCAGTTTAGTCCTAACCTACATCTTTGACTACTTAAACTAAATATAACATTAATACCAAATTTCAGGCCCAAGATTGTATTTTGTCCTACTTCAAAGTTGAATAAAAATAGTAAAACATCTTTTTAATATTCAGGCTATTTTATCATCACTGGTCTTCCCAAACTGTCACTCTATATGACACATTTATAGAAAAAACATCCACTCAAATTTCTCAGTCAACCCAATTATGAGGTTATGTAGTAGCTTATAGCTTTCATTTTGCTTCACAAAGGACTTGGGCAACCGAAAGAGTTTGGGCTTCAGAAGGATCACTGAATGAAAGGCATGTGCTGGCGACTGCAGAGATGGAGCACAGGATGGGTTCACAGGTTTTGAGCTCTGACTATGTTTGTATAAGCCACAGCACATTAGCTCAGTGACTGCATCTGATGGCACTACAGTCATGACCTGGCAGCTAGCTTACCTGTGTTCCCTTCTAGGTGATGGCTTCTTGGAAGAGCAGCACCTGCTCATCCTCAGAGCATAATGCACTCATTCTATCTTTCTCTCACCTGCTAATTATATGAAATGGAATTTTGAACAGGTAACTTCAGCAACTTCCATCTGGCACCTACCAGCTGACTGAATTAGTGGGGTATATACTTTAATTTCCCACTCTGAAGGAGAATGAATCTGTGAATTTGAGGTAAAGAATGTAAAAAAAAAAATTATAGGTAGAAAAGATAGGGACTCTTCACTTGACAGACTACAAATTCTTGTTATTCAAATCGCTATGGTTTTATCTGCATTTCTGTTTGTTTCTACTGTTCAGTGTTCTAATATGGTAACAGAGACTTGAGTATCAAAACCTGTGTCTGTCTTTTTTCTTATTCTACTTATAAAGTGACATATGGATACGGTACTAGGACGTGCATTAAGAAACCCGGGGACTACAATTTCTACACACTTACTGTTAAGACATTTGCCTTTTTTGTTTTGTTTTGTAGGTAACACTATGAAAGAGTAGCTGTAAATTTACACTACATTTTTAATATCTTGTAAAGAGTAGAATCTTCTAATTTATTTTTGTTTTTAAAGGGGAAGATTAAATTGCCAACATTCCCTTTAAATCAGATTAATTTGAAATGATGTTAACAGTTATTGTCATTCACTGTAACAGTGAATTGAACAATTCAAATGATTTTTCAAGCATACACGGCGAAGGAACCTGAAGTGGAAAATGTAATTTCTCCACAAATATAACAGTGCCTTCACAACCTTCTCTCTTACAGGTTTCTTTTCGCCCACTGTCTGCTCAAATGTAAAGGAACTCCTGACATGCAAACCAATCAAAATACCGCTCAAATGAGAGGAGGGAGGGCGGGAAGGGTGTCCGAACACCACACAAATAAAAGGATGAAATTCACGTAATAGGAAGAGTGGAGAGTTTAGTTTAATTGTAAGCTGGAGGGAGAGGCAGTGCCTTGCCACTCAGACCCTCTTGGCTACTAGGTTGTGAATTCAGAAGAAATACTTTTAATATGGCTTTTACCAAAAGCAAAATGCAAACAACCAATTAATGCAATCAAAAAAAGTCATTCAGTACACTTAAAAAAAAATCATACTCAGATTTCTGAAGTTTTAGGAAAATAGAATTCTCGCAGAAAACAATAGCAAGAAGCCGGGCACACTGGTGTTCATCTTTAATCCCAACACTCAGGAGATTGGCAGATCTCTGTGAGTTCCAGGCCAGCCAGGACTACATAGTGAGACCCTGTCTCAAACAGACAGACGGGAAGACAGACAGCCAAAAGGAACAGCAAGAAATGTCTTTCCATCCATTCATCTGCTAGGGACGTGTTGCGATTAAATGCATAAATGAAGCATGGACAGAGCTGGCACACTTCACCATTTGCACATGTGTGCTGTACACATGTTAACCTAACAGAAGGAGAATTTTCTGTTTCCGAAAAACTCCCTTAATGAGATAGCAACTGTGCAACTAAAGTATCATACACCAACACCTATGGGGAAATCAGTCTTACCGATAGAAGAGAATAATAAACTTGCCTTCCGCAAGTGCTCCTGAACTAGTTAAAGTAACTGTGAAATTCCTGCTCCGACAAGTAGCTGAAGGTTAAATCAGTTACACAGTAATAGCAACTGGGTCCTCAAATTTTACAACTGGCTGATGAAAGCACATGTCCCAGCAAAAGTCACCTAGGAATGCATCTGACAACTAACTAACCAGAGTATCATTCAGTCATGGGTTTTGCTTTTAGGGGTTTTGTTTGGTTTGTTTTTTTTGGTTGTTTTTTTGTTTTTCCATATTCTCCCTTCAGTTAACTTGTCTTCTGGATTCTTTCAGGTAGCACAGCTTTCAGCCAGAGTTCTAAGAACACCCCTGTTTTATTTAAAGATTTTTTTTTTTTTTACTAGACTGAGTAGAGGTGCCCCATAACCCGGATGTATTTAAAGATACACCACAGTTCTTTCCCTTCAACTTTGTTTATTGATGTACCGAACATGAAAAAGCACAAAGAATTCAAACACAAAAGAAAACATGTACAGCCTCTTAAATACTCAACAGAATATATTTTCTATTCCAACAGATGTGAATTAAGTCATACTGTACAACTTCAAATAAATACCAGCCTTACATTTTATTAAGTGCTCTGATAAACACTGTAAAGTGAAGCACAATTTGCATGCCCTCTCATCAATGCCTTGGTTTGCTACAGTAGTACAGGAAAGAAGCGTGTAGCTGCTGTTTTCCCACAAGGGAAACCTTATTTTTTTTAAGTATATACATGTATTTTATTTTTTTTATTTTTTTTTAACGCAGGTTAACTCTGACAATCTAAATGCACCTAAGGATATGAGAAAGTGCTAAGCCAATTGAGTTCTGAATAGCATTGAGTGGGTCAGCATGAAAACTCGCTTACTCACTTTAGCACGCGCCTCACAGTATATGTACTGTACTATACTGAAAAATTTTATAACTACAATTTTAAATAATAAAAAATAAAACTCAAAGCAACTGCAAAGATAATGTACAACTATGTTATGCATAGCACATTGCCTGTTCTAAGGGGAAGCATATGAGCATCTCAGTTTATACAAAACGCAGGACGTAACTATATAGTTCTCAGTGCATCCTGATGAAGGCAACGGTTGCCTTCAGCTTTTTTGAAAATTTATTATAAGCTAGATGCTAATCAGAAAATATTTTGTATTTTTTAAAATTTCTTTCATACATGGTAAAGACTTATTTTATTATTTCCCCAAATAGTGGTTTAAGCATCATACAAAGTTAAATTTCAATAGCATACAGATATTTATGATTTTTGTATGAAAAATGTAAGGAAATTTGTTCAAAACCTATGGTTATACTCATTTTTCTTTTTCTTTTTTTACCACAAACATATTTATAAACGAAAATGTAGCATCACCATAAACAGCTGAAGCTAGACTATCTACAGACAGAATTAGCAACGAATCTGATGCACTGTAAATTCAAGTCCTCAGGACAACAGAAGTGGATAAGCAAGACCTCAAGTAACAATGTTAATGCCATTTACAAAGGAAAAAACTGATACAAAACATTCAAAACCTGAACATCACTTGATATGTAAGGGAAAAAAAATAAAATTAGCTGAAAGGTTCATAAACACAAGGTCTTATTTACATCACACAAAGCTCAGGTGTTAGCCTTAAACGTAACTCTCAAAATACCTTCAAATATATCCAACTCAGATCGCCTTTGCTGACTTGCTGCAGTACAAATCATGTGCAACATCTTATTTTCCTTAAGACAAAACAATTCTTCAAACGATACTGCAAGTACATCACTAAACACCATGAGCTCTATCTGAAGGGATTTCTTTAGGAAGAACAGATTTTCCCCCATCTCTTGGTAATTTAAATTTCTTGCCTGCTCTTATATATTCTTTTGTAAATTTTTTTTATTTGTTTCAAAATCACAAATCAATGTGAGCCATCTATCACATAGCAACCAGGATGATCAGACACCCCACTGGTGATTACGAAAATGAAACCAGCAGTGTTCCCTCACTGACTCAATTCCTCTCATACAAAGATCTCAAAAGTATTTTTCTACATCATAAATCTTTCTAAATTTTCCAACCGTTGCAAATTTCCTGGTAAATTTTAAAAGCTCACTAGGTGTCATATGAAGAGATTTCTCAAAGTATTCAAGTCAAAATATTTGTTCCAGGACCAGTAAAAAGTTTCTCCAAATTTTCTTTTTTATAAAAATAGATGCTTTTTTTAAACCCACATCAAAGAGGCTCTTATCTCTTTGGCAAGGTACTGCTTTACGAAAAGTTCTCCAGTATTCTTACAATAAGCGTTTATAATGTCACCCCCCCTGCCCCAGCCCAAATCAGAATTACAAAATAAATACTGTTTGTAACTTCATAAATAAAAATGTAAACTTCAAAATACTTTTCTGAGACATAACGGCAATGCTTTAAATGTAAACCAAACAAAGCTAATTAGAGAACAAAAAAAAAAAAACCAAAAAAAGAAAAAGAAAAGAAAAAGTAAGAAAAGAAAAGGAGGTGGGGAAAGACACAACCAACTGAAGAGTTACAACACAAAGCCTCAATATTTACTCACAGGTTCAAGGCAGTTATGTAAAAAGAAAAGCAATGTCTTCCCTTAGCTGAAACACTTTAAAAGGTCCACCTTCTTCAAAGAAGGCAATAGAATGCAATGTGACAGGTAAAAACCCTGTACCTCTTGTCCATATTCAAACATAAAAGATATTTAAGAAGTTTTAATTCAAATACTAGCAATAAAAAATCTCACATAGTTCTTAGGATGCTAAGTAGTCATTTTATCCCCATCTCAACACTGACTTACAAAGACATTTACTAATGTATAAAGTTTCTCTTAACTTGCTTTTGTTGTATAGTTTTCATATAGAAATGGACTGAGGACAAGAGCTCATTAGGCTTTGTGCGTTTTGTTTGTCTTAAAGGAGACCTGCAGTACTCTGTCTCCTAGACGGTATCCATTGAGGCTAGCTATCGCCATGGCAGCCTCATCATAGTTTGTCATAGTCACAAATCCAAAACCTTTGCATTTATTGGTGTTAAAGTCACGGATGACCTTCACGTTGGTGACAGCTCCAAAAGGCCCAAACATTTGCCACAGGATACTTTCATCTGCATCAGGAGCCAGGTTGTACACAAATATGCACCAGCCTGTTCCAGGGTGCCCAGGAATATTAATTCCAGCCAGACTGGTCATCCCATCAATCGTCATTGGTGAAAACCTACTAAACAAAATAGGAAACAGACACACACACACACAAAAGGAACATAGATTGGTTATAGCAATGGGTTTAAGTTCCTTTCCCTTCTCCATTTCCCCAATTTAGCAATTCCCCTCTCCCAACAGATGTATACAGCTACTGGATATGTCAACCGAGGCTCTATTTGTGGCTTGTAGGGACAGACAAACAATTCAGGTATTGACAGGTTATGAAATGACCATCTGCTGCACTGAGTAACAATTTACACAATGGCAAAGAAATCTAAAAACTGCCTTCATGAATTGAACAGGACGGGGAGGGGAGAAAAACCAACACATAACATACACATGCTATATAATGTCGCAATGCAATCTGAAACAAATAATGACTTTTTAAAAGACTAAGTGGCGTACAGTGGTATAAAAATATTCAATGAGTCAAATGTGCTTCAAAAGCAGCTTTACAATAGGCTATACATGCAAAAGAAAACCCAACATAAATTTATGAGGGTGGAAATATTGCTCCCCAAATCAAAGAAATTAATCAATTGTGGGAAGGGATTATGAGTATCATGAACCTGTGTCATTACCTCTTCACTCCATAAGCCATATTGAGCAGATTGTCCAACCTGCAAAACACACATTTAGCAAACTTCAGTGTTTAATTTTCCCCCTTGAAGTTCATGAAAGCTAGGCTCATTACTGCCACCTTCCAAGGGGATAATTGTGCATAAAATATATGTGATGTCTCAAAACACTGGGTCTTTGACCATTCCTGAGAGAATGGGCACCCACTGTGGTAGAACACTGGCTATCTCTACAGGGTCAGTGCAGCAAAGAAAAAAAGCAGTGGTCATCTGAGGAAACAGCCAGAAACAAAATGTGAAGGCGCTAGAGTAGTTAACAGGTGACTTCCCACCAGGCAAGTTCTAAGAGTGTCACTGGAGCTGATCAGCACTTTTACAAACTCCCACACTTCTATTTGCCACAATTCCATTGGTTCCTGAGGATATTGAAGCACACAAAGATTAGCCAGCTAGCCTAAATTCACAAGGCTAGTCACTTCAGAGCAGTCTGATCTTTAAAAATCAAAGATGTAGAATTATAAGTGCATTGAATTTTATGGACAAACATGGCTTTATAGAATTTGTGCCATCCTGCTTTATCATGTCAAGAAGACTATTGAGAGTGCCTCAAGTTTCTAGATTTTACAATAAGTTACACATGAGGAGCAGGCATGTCTAATGCATAGCCATACAGCCACCCAACTGTGAGAATGCTCCCCAATCCCAAAGACAGCCATAGGTCAGAGGGGAGGCACAATCATGTCTTTTAACCCCTGTGAAAGGCTAAGTGGGGTGGGTATCAATCAGCTTTTGATGTCCAACCCAAGCACACAGCAGAGCACATAAGAAAAGCAACTCTTCTCAGTTTTCTAAAAGCCAATGTATTCCTTCTGGTCTTTGAGAAAGAATGTTGTCCTTGCACATCCTAATCTCAGTCTCCACTGGGCATTTGTTTCTTTTGAAAAAAATGAAAAGGAAGAAGTGTTGAGTTGCTGTAATGCAAAGTGTAAGACGAGTACAAATCGCAGTGGCACGAGATCTTCCTTCATCTATTTGGGCCTGCCATGTGCCATGACCCTCTCAAATGTACCACTTAGCACAGACCACTAGTCTGGGCATTGCATGTTTATCACATACCTGATGATTATGTATAAAAGCAAAGGTTACCAAAATTATCATCCACCACTTAATATAGGATGGAAACTACCCAGAAGGCAGACTGGGTGAGAATATTTGCACACACAAAGCATAGAGCAGGTAGGTGTAAAGAGTACAGAATGTCAGAGGACTTTGTGTTTTGCAGAGTGAAGATGAGTAAAGATATCATGCCTTTATATACAAAAAAACCAAGGTTACAAACATCAGGAAAAATGAATGCAAATTCGCAACACCAATCACAAAGCGATCTGATACAGAAAAGTTCATCAACTTCCTGGAATGATAGATATGAAATGCATTTGACAAATGGCACCTGTGGGACAGATGAACATATTGGAGTCCCTGTTCAAAGTGACTAAAGGATGAAATCCAGAAGCTCCATTTTCCCTCCACCCACTTAGAAGACAGCAACCAAACTCCCAACATAGAATTTCCTTTAAATGTGTCTGTTTTTAAGATAGGATGGAAACCAAACCTGCCATGGGAGTGAGTTACAATCACTGAGGGAAAAACATCTTAGTTCCCAACTCTATCCCATTCCACAATCTCTAGGACATCTAGGACTTTTGCAACTAGGCCTCTGCAGACCCTCAATGGGCCTCATAGCTGCCCAACCTGTGGAGTCTTATATGGTTCCCTGACCTTCAATCATCTCCTGATTTTAGGGGAAATTCAGTCTTTGGGTATTTACACCTCAACACCAGCTCTCCTCCCCCATCAGTGTGAAATACTGTTCCTAAACAGCCCAGGCACAGCAGCTGGCTGACTACATACATGCAACCGAAACCCATTTCCCTTGTTCTCACTGCCATAAATCTATATGTCCCATTTGAACCTAGGGAAGGCAGTGGGCACTTCATATGGACATTAAGCAGCCTTTGTGCAGCAGCAGGCAGCACATTATAAACTGTGCAGCTATAGGAGAAAATGTCATAGTACCCCTGGCACAGCTGTCATACCTTCATGCTATGTCCTACAACTCAAGGACAACTTTCATACACGATTCTCTGAAAAGGAAGATACAGCCCAGTCTAGTGGCCTTTGCAGTAACTGGGGGACACACACAGACAAGGTGTTCCACCATAGGAGTAAATGCAAGGAGTCAACTGCATGTATATTTTGCTATTTAAAATCAGAATGTTCTTAAATTATATTTAACATATGGACTGCACCAATATCTACATCTACTCTCCAGGGTATCTGATGCTTCCCAAGGAAGTCTGAGCCTTTCTGAGAGGGTGACCAATGTCCACAATCATTAGCTGGGATATAATCCACTTTACAAATAACACATTATTTGGAAGACTAGATAGAAAAACCTAGCTTCATTTAAGACATCCTTTAGTTAAAGAAAGATTCCCAAGAGAAGGGAAATTGGGTTAAAGATGATTCAGTGAAGAAAATTCAAGGAAAAAAAAAGAACCAGTTATTTCCCTTACTTCCTATAGAAACTGCATCAGGAGGCTAGACACAAGTCAATTCAACATCTCTTACATGCAGTCAGGAAATTCAAAGTGATAAATATTAACACTATAGAGGCACAAGCCATGTGCACATACAAGTGCACAGCAAAGACATTTGATAACATTTCCTATCACCAGGATAATGTAATTCAGATTTTACTAGACAATATTTTTAATAGAATCTTCTATCAGCTAGAGCATTTTCATTTCAAAGCTGGGTATTTACAAATACAGCATAAAACTAAGGTATCTGCCTAATTTTCAAGCTATTCAGCTGGTAGGTTAAGGAAAGACCATATTGAAAGGGAAATTAACAAAAATCAACTAAAGTCAGATATAATATGTGAAAAAGACAGTAAGTAAAAAACACAATTCTGGACACTGGAAGAATTATCAAACCTCTCCAAAGCATAAAGCAATAGTTGGCTTGAAGTTAACCAACACAAACTCATCAATATGTTCCCTTATCCAATCACATGGCATCATGTATTCAAAGAATGAGGAAAATAATTCGTGAGGCTTGATGTCTTTGTCTTCCAATATGAGGTCAAGCTAATGCAACTGGCAACATGCCTGAAGCTCAACCCAACAGCTGATTCCAGGCTCTTCAAAAATGCAAAGAGACACACAGAAGCACACACATAAGCCACTGCCCAGATCACACTCAAGAAAGTTAAATCTACCTTACAAGAATGAATAAGAAAATTTTGTACACAGTTTAATTTGGATAATCTGTACTAAGAATATTCTTAATGGACTGAAATTACAACATGCATTTAAATAAATAGTCTGTCTTATTTTGAAAACTATAAACACTTCAATGAGCCCATCAGATTAGCAGTGTTCATGTTTAAATAATTCTAATTATCAATACAGATTGAGCCATAAACCTCATAAGCCCACTTTTAAAGTTAATCCTTATTACATGGAATTTTACATTTGTATATTCATGAGTACTAAAAGTCCTTTCACTGTTAATATATCTTGTATTCTCCAGTCTCTCTCAGCTGCTAAGGTACCAGGGTAACATAAAAATACACAATGAGTTTTCTAAAATTCATGCTGGGAAGTGGCAAAGTCAAAGCAAAAGCATTATAACAACAAGTACTATGAAGAAATAACTGTAAGGAATTAGACCTCAACTACAGAAAAGAGCAAGGTACCAACAAAATTTCAAGTCCTTAATTCAAGTGTCTCAAAAACTCAAAGAAGATCAACTTTTATTTAATAAAACGTGAGGAAATTCAAGTTAATGACAGCCAAATTAAAGAAACCTTTGAAAAGCACCAGTCACACATCACAATACATTTGGATTGTAGAAATTAAGACTCCGCTTCTACCAATACATAGTCTATATCACACATTCTCTAGCACACGGGTAGTTCATGTTTTACCACTTAGAGGTGCTGGGGTAAGGATGAGCAGTGAGATGAGGGAGAGAGCAGGAATCTAAGGAAGGAAAAGTCTGCTCTAATTCCTGACTGCTCTCCATTTGGCACTCACCAGGTAACCTGGTGGTAGCTACTCCTTCAAGGCCAGCCAATTGATGACAAACTTAGATTGATAAGAAGGGCACTGTACAATCCAGTCCATAACTCCTAGTGATCTTCCTGCCTCAGCCTCCAGAGTAGCTGGGACTCCAAGCTCAAACCTCCATTTCCTGTAATCTTCCTCACTTACTATTACCAATCTTTCCTTTCAACTAATGCCCCTTATTCCTTTCTTCTACCATATCTTTCTATAAGGGTCAAACAATCTCAAAAGTAATGACAATATATACTGCTAAAAGTTTTAAATTTAATCATGAGGACAACCTTGGAAAACTTTACCCCATCAAAAATAAAAGGTATAGGGCACCTACAGAAGGACAGCAAGATTCAGTGAGGATGCTGTGGTGCCAAGTGTCCAGCACATGTTGCCCACATAAATGCTAGCCAGTGATCAGGACTCTCAATGCTATCTATGGTCCTCTGGCCTGGTCTTAAGAGTCTAAGAGTGCTCCTCTAATAAATAGCAACCAAACAAAACTACAGCTTTAATTGAAAACATAAAACAACAACCTAGGGCAGTACAGCTTTCTTCTAAAAAGCAAACTAAAACGAATTGGGAAGGACGACTAGAAAACACTGTTAAAATGAACTGGATCTTGACTGTAATATATTTTAAAATACCAACAAGAGAATAGTCAAGAAAGATGACAGAGAGAGGGCATAATCTGGCACTGAAAAGGGGTGCTGTGAGATTTCTTTCTGCAGAAGGAAATAATCAAATAGCCCAGGTGCCTTTCCTCTCCTTCAATTGCCAATACTTGTCACCAAGGTCAAAGGTGACACACATTTTGTTTTTCCCAATGCTTTTTCTCTCAAAATTACAGCAGCTAAACTCACTGAACCAGGAAGCTGGTCATCTTTGTCAATACAGTCTTTCATAATGCTATCATTCTCCCAGAGAGAATGCTAACCTAAGTAGGTATTCAACCTGGCATTTACAGAAAATTTCTTTTCACACCTAAGTATCATACTTAAGTATTTTTAGAAGGAGATATTTTAAGTTGATTTTTTTTCTTCTCTTTTCAACACTCCAATACACCAATGGGGAAAAATATATGTGACTGGGGCTAGAAAACATGTAAGTTAAGTCCTCTAGCATACAATGTTTGTGATTATGTGTTTTGGTAATTAACTATTTTGTCTCAGGAAGGAAAGAATAAAGAATTACATGTACTTATTATAAAACATTAGCTTAGGAGTTAGATGCAATGTGGCCAAGTGGTATTTACAACATCCTGGGAAATAAAAACTGGGTGACTTGTTCATAAAAATCAGATGTCACTGTTTCTAACTGAACCTCAAGTCACTCCTTTTTTCATATTCAGAAGATATGCTCTGAATGACCCCTGGTCTGGTTGTTTATTCAAGGACTAGCTAACTTGAGAACTTGGGGTATTTATGCCCATTAGTAACTAGGTGCCTTCTTTGAGTTAATGAATCAGTGAACAACCACACAGAGGCAGAATCCAGACTGCCACTACTTTCTGTATGGCACAGCAAATGACTTTTAGATTTTTAAAGAGCTGAAAATAAAGGAAGAAAATGAGAAAGAGGAGAGAGAGAGAGGTGGGGGAAAATGGTAAGGAGAAGGGAAAGAAGGAGGAGGCATAGGTGCAAAAACCATGACTCAGAAAATTTAATGACTCCTCTCTGAACCATTAAGTTTATCAATCTCTAAACTGTAATGAAAGGAGATAGGGGGCCACTTTTAGAAGCTTAGGGCATTCACATAGTTCACATATATTAAACAATGTCTATATTATGAAACAAAGCTAACTGAAAGAGCTCAATTTAACAGCTCAAACACAAAAATTCTTCTCAAGAAAACAGTAACAAAAGGAAAACTGCACATCAGACTTCACGGTCTGTGGGTCAGGTTTTCTCAAGCTGTGCTTTGGGCCCAGGCACCTGTGGCTACTGGGTATCCTGTATGTTGCAGGATGCTCAGCAGCATCCCTGGACTCTACCCACTTGATGTGAGTCACAGCTCCACCCAAATTATGCCATCACGAATGAGTCTACACTTTGCCAAATGTCTCTTGGAGACAAAATCACTCCTGGAGGAGAGCTGCTCTTACAGTTAATTGCCCTCACCTTCAAAAGTTGCTATTTCCCCAAGAATGTTTTCTCTGTGCCCATTAAAGAAAAAGAAAGAAAGAAAACAACAGTAATGACAAACTCAAAGCAGAGATCTTGTTGATACAATTACTTGACAGTAAACCTGCACATTCTCCTCCAGTTTAGTAGCTGGGCACGAGAACTGGACCAGACTTACCTAAAACGCTGTGCCTGCTGAGCTAGCGGTCCTGGGTACCTTCTGTTTGGAGACTGGTACAGCTGGGAAAGGATGGCCTGATTGGTTTTTTGGCTTGGATTATTAGCAAACTTTACAGTGATTGGCTCTGTGGCACCAGGAGGTTTCTGGCCATTTAGGCCTTTGATAGCTTCTTCTGCCTCAATCCGCTTGTCAAATCGAATAAACCCTACACCCCTTGATATGCCTAAGGTAGATTTAAGTAAAGATTTGGGAAAGAGGGAGCAGGAGAGGGGAAGAAGAGAAGAAAGGATAAATTAATTTTTCCTTCTCATGAACATCTTTTTACCCACATATAACATTTGCCACAAAAATCACATCAGGAAGAAAATTTTACCTTAGCAATTCAACTTAGAATCTCAATTTTCCACCCTTTTTAAATGCACAAAATGACCTATACAATGTGAGTTCTCACTATCTATCACATGCTTTTCAAGAAGCTAAGAAAGCACAAAGCACATAAACCCATGCTTTCTTTCCCTGCATTCCCTCCTGCCTCCTGTGCTCTTTTAGTAGTTACACCAACTGTGTGCCTGAGTTCCACTTTTCACAGTATGCTATCAGACAGGCAGCCCCTTCCCTTGAAATGAGAACAAAATCAAGCATTTGCTAACACACTCTAGAGCAGATAAGCTCAACTAAAATTCTAAGTAAGTAATACATTCATCTTAATCACATCATATAGCATATGAAGGTCTCTCAAGAAAACAAAATCTAGACAGGCAGTGGTGGCACACACCTTCAATTCCAGCACCTGGGAGGCAGAGGCAAAGCTGATCTCTGTTTGAGGCCAGCCTGGACTACAAAGCAAATTCCAGGACAGTCAAAGGCACACAGAGAAAGCCTTTCTTGGCAAAAAAAAAAGGAAAAAGAAAAATGAAAAAAAAAAAAAAAAAACCTGAAGAGGGCCTTCACATTCTCTGAGCTTCCCCATGCTTCTCTTTAGCTTTATGTTACAGAAGTAATGTTGCATGGAGTAAAAGGCAAAAAAAAAGCCCTGGATTTTCCAAGTTAAACCAGGAGACCTGCAAGCTTCCTGGCACCTCCAGCATCCCTCTTAACCATGGAAGGCCATTCTCTGTCTGATAACAATGGCAAAGCAGGGCATGAACAAAGCTTTTCCGGTTTATGAGAAACAGCAGCGTGACTCTCAGCCCCTTCCATTTAATTTTCATAGGCAGGTGAGCAGATAATCACAGCTGGTCAACACAAGGTAAGCAGCTGCAGAGAAATGCCTTCTTGGCAACCAACCAGAGTCTCACAGTACCAGGTTTTGGACTAGTAGGTAGGAAAGTATAGATAATTCAAAGTGGGCCAATAAAGAAAGGAAGGGATACTGAGAAAACCTAGACCATCGTGACTTAAAGCAACCTCAAAAAGACACAGGGTCTGTTTGCCCTACAACCAAGCCTGGACAAGGCTCAGAATTTCCTAAGGTAAATAAGGCATTTTCTCCATGTATGCTTCTTCTGCTATCCTCTGTCACTTGGCCCTTTTTGTACAAACACCGTGCATTGTACAGGGTAAACTGGTGGCTGAATACCAAAACTTCTGGGTTTCATTTCTCTTCCCCTCCCCATTTCAGGGAAAGTGTATGTTTTTCTTGATAGTTGTAAGGATGAAGAAGAAATAATTATAAATATATCCTTTCATTTATCCACTGGCTCCTATTAAGAACCAACATCTCAGCTAGCATATTTCCAGCTCTCAGCAGGCTGAGGCAGGTGGTTTGCTACAAGTGTGAGATGCCAGCTTGATCACAAAGTGAGATCTTGAATTTCAAAACAGAAAAATGAAAAGAAAGAAAGAAAGAAAGAAAGAAAGAAAGAAAGAAAGAAAGAAAGAAAGAAAGAAAGAAAGAGAGAAAGAAAGAAAGAAAGAAAGAGAGAAAGGGTTTGAAAAAAAGAACAAAACACACAGAGAGAAAAGGAAATAAAATACTAAAATTTTTGGCTGCTCCATTAGGAAAGTACAGATTAAAAAATGGCATCCTCACAGGTGGGGCTACTTAAAGTTTGTGTGTGTGTGGTGGGGCAGGGGGCTGCATATCCTCAGGATTGAGTACATTTGGAGGAGGACCCCAGAATTTCTAGTTCTAGCAAAGTTCCAGCAGGCTGCTGATGTCAGAGGTATGGACCCCACTCAGGGAATAGTAAGTCTGTCCACTTGTCATCCTTCATACTCAGGAAGGGCCATCACTAAAAGGAAGAGGCATATTTCCATGTCACAGATGAAGCCTACTCTCAATCCACCAATTTCTCATTAAGTACAAAATTCTCTAAAAAATAAATAAATAAAAATTCTATGAACAAAAAGGTATTTCTGTTGTTCAGAATAAATCTTGTTAGGCTTGGACTTCTATTTAGCCCCCTTAACCAACAGTGTGTGTAACACACCAGTGTCACAGAGGGAATCAGGAGGAGAATGGACTGGCTACAGCAGCCAATGCCCTGTGTCTTGTGTGCTCTCAGACTTTCTCATGGCAGCACAATCTACAGACCATTCTCCCAGGCAAGTGTATACACTGTTGATTCTCTACCCAAAAGCCTATGAACAGCACTTCCTGTGAGGCCAACTAACAACACAGAATGGAAAAGCAGACACTCTGGCCAAGTTTACAACAAATGAACTGATCTCCACTTGAAGATGAAAACTGTGGCCTGATTTTATTCTGGGGTTAATCTGCTCCATTCTTACAATAAAAACTCATATGTTGTAATATACGATATCACAAGAAGGCTGGCATGGAAATAAGGCATTCTAGGTGACTTTCCACCCCCTCCTTTTCATATTTCTCTATATTTAAAATGTTTTGCAAAAGGACAAGTATTGCTTTTAAAGTAGGAAACTGTATGTGTACCTTGTTTTAAAAATCTGTAATCCAATCCATATTGCCAGCTTTCCATTAGCTAACAGTATTGGCAGAAGTGCTTCTTGTGTATAAAGTTCTAATGAACATCTTATTCTCATTTCATTTGGTCAAAAGTTGCGTTAGGCATAAAACAAATTGCTACCACTCAAAATCTCATCCTCTTACGTCTGCCTCTATGGTACAGCAGACCCTGGAAAACTGCCTCCACGGCAATTACCAGAGTGGATTCAGCCTCATCCTTGCTCAGAGGACCAGCTGCATACTGCTGCAGTAAATTTTTCTTTTCACAAAAATAAGATTGTTTATAAGGAGGATAGGGGCTTTTTTCACACAGAGGCTTGAAAATGAAGATTATAGCATCTATAAATTTATTACAAGCCATGAAACAGGCTTCAAACCTGCACCTTCAGGGTGGAAATGACTCAAGCTCGCTCACTCCACTCCACAATCTATTTCTGTCCATGCATATTTATGAACAATTCCAGCAGAAAATTGCATTTTCTGGCCCACATATACCTTTGATGTGTTCTAGAGGCAAGACTGCTATGTGAGAAGACAGAATATTTCACAATCTGCCCGTCAGGGAGCACAAGACTATCCAGAACCACTGCCCACTTACCAGTGACCTGGTCGACAAGAATGCGAGAAGTAATGATGCGCCCGTACTGTGAAAACAGTTGCTCCAGCTCCTTCTGGGTCATTGTTTTTGGAAGCCCACTGACATATAAGTTGGCATCTCTGATAGAAGCTGAACTTGGGCGAGCATAGGAAACCTGAAAACGGGAATAAGGTTAAGCATACTGGTATACTCACTCCTTTCAGAAACCCAATGCGTACCTTGACAACTGCTCCGTAAGGGGCAGAGAGCAAACACTGGCCTTAATGTAAGTAGGATGCTGTTTATTCATTGGGGGGCGGGCATTCCAGGACAAAAAGGAAATGCTAGTTCTCTGTGTGAAGAGAAGACCTGCTCCAAGCATATCTGTGAGGTCTCGAACCAGACCAGTATCACACACAGCATGGCACACTAATGGAAGCAGGCTGTCCTCAGCGGGACCAACAGGAAGCAAGAGATGTGCGAGCAATCATTCCTAGTTAACATATTTTGAAGTCATCAGATACATTTTTATGACTTGTTTTCTAGCCTCTACCATCTCTGGATATGGCGGGACCCATTTAAAAATATGTAGTCTTTAAAAGTGAAGGCTTTCTTATAATTTATGCCAATGCCACTCACATATAAACTCTTAGAGATTTAAATACATTAAGGAGTCATAACCTTCTTTGTCCATTGTCTTGTCATCCACAAGTTTTCATAACCTTCATTTTTAGACCCCAAGTATTTTCACTGACTTTATCTAATGTCCTCTCAAAAAAACCTTTAAAATGTATTTTAATTTTCATATATTATTTTCCCTCCCCCAGTTCTTCCCAGATCCTTTCTACTCACCCAACTTCATGCTCTTTCTCTATCTCAAAATAAAACAAACTAACAAAACCCACCATACTAAGCCAGAAGAGGCCATAAATATAAACAGGGAGTCCCTTTTGTGTGGGCCAATACTCCTGAGCATAAGGTTTGCTCTGGAGTGTGGTTGATATACCCAGTGTCATTCCATTGGATAAAAATGATTTCCCCTCTCCCAGCACGTACCAACTACAAATAGCTTCTTCGTTAGGGATGGGACTTTAGGCTTCTTTCTCTTTTTTTCCGTTTTGGTATTTGTCTGGCTAGAACTTGTGAGGGTCTTATGCATGCTGTCACAGTCTCTGTGATCTAGGAGTTCTTACATGTAGCAGCTCTGTGGTGTTTCCTTGGAGCTGCCCATCTTCTCTGGCTCTTACAACTTTGCTGCCTCCCTTATACTTAAAGTCTTTTAATGAAAGAATCCCAAATTGTACAAGATGGAAGACAAAAAGTCTGTATTAGTTTATAATCATCACTATTCAGGTCTTGCTCATTACTGGATCCTTAATGTTTAGAAATGACCAGAATGTGGTCAATGAAAAAATACTTGCTAATACCTCACTGATCATGTGAGTCCACAACACCACACCATAGCAATTTGTGGCACAGTCCATCATCTCATCTAGATTCTTGCCCAAACTGAACTCCATACCTGCTTTACCCATCATATAAGCATTATTTAGACAGCTATGGGTCCCCTAAGTGATCTGCAATCATACTCCCTTTGGTTTGACTGTGATCTCTTCAGGAATGGCCAACTACACAGATAGAAATTTTACAACATGACTTGTCTTCTACATCATTCAGAAAAATAGCCAACACATCTAACTTTGGGATTGACTTGCTAGACTAACACAATATGATTATTTATGCCTAACCATGTTATTACCTAGTAGTACCCACCTTTAATCAGGCTTATTACTCCAATATAGAATCTTTTATCAAAACTAGTATTTTAATAACTAAAGCAGCAAACATTTTCTTTTTGGTTTATGCCTGCAGATCTCTCTTACTTTTAAAAGGAACTTTCTAGGAAATAAAACAAAAGAAGAAAACAGGCCAGATTTTATATTAATTTATGAAGTTCTTGGTATCTTTTACCCTTGTCCCAACAGAGCTTACATTTAATACCCCCATCCTTATTTAATCAGTTTGCTCACGAACAACTGAAAATACAGATACTGTTCCAAGGGCTTATTGGAAAGTCACATTACACTGTCCTGTCCTACACAAAGGAATCTAGGACAGGAGTACAGAGAAAATATTCACATATACTCTTTTCCCTCTGCTCCTAGCTACTTAGTAATGAACACTTGTAAGTACAAAAGAAAAAAAAAAGGGGCGGGGGTTGGGGGAGAAAAACTTAAAGTAACCAAAATAATATAAGCAAAAGTTCAGCCTTGAGACTTCTGTACCTAGGATCCCACAGCCACTGAAGTATGTTTGAATCCAGTCGTGTGAATACATGTCTACGGCTCTTTTCTAGACTGATCTGCAATCATCTAAGGAAGCTACATAATCCAGCACTTGGTCCACTTCTAAACTGAGGACTGTATAGCTTTATTTCTGTGGCAGGGAGCCAGTCAGCAGTCACTGTGCTCTGGACCATGTGACTGAAATGCTCTCTTTGTGAAAGAGCCACTCGCCATGGGCTACAGGTCAAGTATAAGCATTTCTGCATTGTCAATGAGTGAGGAAGCAGAAGCAGACAGGAGGCTCAAGCTTAGCATAAGGTAGGGAGTGCCACAGTGGTGAAAGGCGACACGTCTCCAATCAGTGAGCCTATTGAAAGCTAGGTTCATTTCATTACAAACCCTGTTAACTTGGGACAAACGCCTTAATCCTATTACATCACATAAACCACAGAATTTTACCTTTTTAAAAGTAGTTCTTAAGAATAAATAAGTACTTTTTAGTATGCATGGCTTTCTTAAGTCTAAAAATTGGGGTGGCTGTGTTACAAATTTTATTCACCTCTATGTGCATCTGACTATGTCAAGAAAGACCTACATGATTAAGTTTAGAGTAACTGAGTCCATCACAGCTTTCCAAAGTCATTTACTCATGCAGTGACATTCACTGCTTTGTACATTTCAGACGTGTGTGGGTGAGGTGTTTTAAGTTATCCTGAAATATATTTAGGATAAAGGGCTTATATTTAGTGATTATGTAAAAACTGAATGCACACTGAATCAGTTGCCCTCCCCTCAATGTCCATTCTTTTGTTTGTTTTCTTGCTTTTGTCTCTGTTTGGTTTGTCTTTGAGATAGGACTTCATTCTTTAGCCCAGGCTGGCCTGAAACTCACTATGTAGCCTAGGCTGGCCTCAGACTTAAGTCAATCCTCCTGCCTCAGCCTTGTGGGTGCTTGGTTTGAGAGGTGTGAACATCCATAGCAAGCTTATATACACATTTAAATTCACATTATTTAATTCCAAATCGTATCTAAAAGGCTATAAGACAAATCTTAAAACAGCATTTCCCTATAACGCTGTCAAAGAACTGGTTTTCATTACTATATACAGACTAGAGATGATGGATTACACAAAAGCCCATGATGATAGCAAATACTGCTTAACAATAAAATCACGTTCAGGCTTAAGTTTTTGCCAGATATAAAGCATGATCAAATAGTTTTCTTTCCATGCCTTCAACTACCTCGTGAGGCAGGCAGGACACACATAAAAGAAATTAAGGCTGGCAGAAGAGGTAAAGAGACAAATCCCATGCCTGAGGTCATGTGCAGCTGCTGCTGAGTTCTGGATTCACCAACTGATCTTCTTGGCCCTGTACTTTTTTCTCCTGGTCCAGTTTTCATTCCACAGTGTCACACTATTGGAACTAGTTTGTTAGTTCACTTGTAAGAGTTCAGAATTTTTAAGTAACTCTAGATTGTTTCTTAAAACACCATGTATAAACTAAGCAAAGATAGCAGAAAAAATGTCACTAAACCAAAGTTATTTTTATGTCACATGCATTAATGTATTTCAAAGTAGCTTTTCTTTTTTTTGGTTTTTCGAGACAGGGTTTCTCTGTGTAGCTTTGCGCCTTTCCTGGAACTCACTTGGTAGTCCAGGCTGGCCTCGAACTCACAGAGATCCGCCTGGCTCTGCCTCCCGAGTGCTGGGATTAAAGGCGTGCGCCACCACCGCCCGGCCCAAAGTAGCTTTTCTTAAGAATAGTGGTTACCAGTTGAGATTAACAGCAGAAATTGCACATCATGATTAAAATTCGTCTTATTACACACTCTAATCCACATAAATAAAGAACACTATCCCTAAGAATTTCCAGAAGTGTAAGAAAAAGCACCTGTGCTGACCCTTCTCCCATAATGTACCAGGTTCCATCCTATGCCTGTAAGTTTCTCAGAATTAAAGCAGCCTCTTTCTTCTGCACTGTCAGGAATATCACTGTCAACAACATCCTGACTTCCAAGAAAAGGAAAACAGTTCTTCAATCTCAGAGGATTATAAACACCAAGTACACTTCAGACCACAGTGGGAACCCTTGTAGAAGGATGAAGATGTTCATTATGGGAACTTAAATCAGTTATCCATCCAATCTACCTAGTAAGTATCAGCAATGGTCACCACTCTGATTTTGCTGTGACTTTGGAGTTGTATGGATGCCTTGCATCAGCACTCACCTAGAGAACCACACTGGGGCTGGCTCCATCTTCTAAGTGTTAAATACACTTGTGGGTTTTTAAAACAAAATTCCCTCAGAGAAGACTAAGTGGGTTTTCTATACATGATGAATTCTGTACTAGAAATACTTCAATACAATGAATCTCTAGCATAAGTCCCAGTGGGGGCCAATAGCGTCTTCCTTCAGTAAATGTGAGCTGATCTCCAATCTACAGTCACTGGATTAATATATGGGTTTGTATTTTAAATTTTCACTGCCATTTAAACAGGTGAATATTTAATGCTTGAGGAGCAAGGTTATGAAATGTCAAAACTACTAAGTGAAGGATCTAATTTAAGAGGCAGCCAGAGCGTCTGCAATTTAAATATTTAAAGATGATACAGGGAGTACAAAATCTGAACACCAATCTGCTTCCAAGATAGCAATTTAAAACTCAGGTTTATTCTGGAATTTCTCACAAGCCTACAAGTGATATAATAAACCAAGACAAGCAATACTGAGGCTACTTGAGGGAGGAGGAGGGAGGGGGGAGCAGCAGGCAGAGATCCTCTAGCCAATGGCTTCCAAAGTGCTCTTCAAATGAGATTACACCGGACAAACAGAAAAAAAACAAACTTACCAAGGTAATTAGGTCTCAAAAATGGACTACTCTGAAACA